TAATATCAAAAGCTTTGTGTCAGAAATTGAGACCATCAATTTCATCTGAGGGTTCATATATCGAGCTATTTGACTCTGTATATTAAGCCCTATTAAACTATTCTTTATTTTTTTCATATTTGTTTGTTTGTTGTATTTTCATTCAAACTAGAAAAATCAATTTTTTAATGTATTCAACTAATACTGCTTAATTCATGAGGTAAAAAACAGCATTTCAAAATCGTCAGTGATAATGGGGGGGGCAAATTTTCAATTTGAAGTTTACTTATAATTTCTACATTTTATTTCATTTTAATAAAACAAAATAACAACATTCCCTGATTTAAATAGTGAAATTGTTTGTTTTTTAACAATATTTAGTCCAAATCTTGCAAAATCGTGGATTTTTCAGTGCATTTTTGTCTACGATCTTTGATGCCAAATGCTCAAGAATTCGTTGAAGTGACAAATCTAATTTTTTGTATCAGTACTTAACTGGTCTATACACAACTTTCGGTACATTATTCTTTTTGATATTTTAAAAAATTAAAATCGACCTACCTAATATATATATATATATATATATATATATATATATATATATATATATATATATATATATATATATATATATATATATATATATATCTTCAATGAATCGATAAAAGTTCAAGTGATGGATCTAAATGGACGATTGAGCATTTTCAGGTCGAAACTCTTAATAAGGAGAAGATGTTCGATAAATGTATTGAAATTATTATCAGATCTCACATTTATACTGCTCGGAATTTCAAATTTTAAATTTATGATATTTATATATGTATATATAGGTATAGCTTAGCACTGTCGTCGTCGCAGGTGTTGCCAGAACGATGTTGGACATAGGACTGTCTTAGAGACTCCGGCTTCGGATTTGTCCCCAGGGTTTACTCCCGAAGCCTTTACCATGACTGGGTATAGTCGCAAAGTAACGCATGTTTAAAATCAGAATTTTTCCTTATCTTAAAAAGACTACCCTCCCGGGCTGACGAATTCTATCTACTCGAAATATACCTGTACATTCGTATACACGCACATATATTTTACACTGGATGTCAGAATAAACAGTTTGTCATCAAATGTACTACGTTTAATAATAATTATTAATCTAAAGGATAATAATAAAAATATTTGATAAAGAATAGAAGAAATTGATTATAACGAACCAATCAAAAAGAAGTAGTAGTAAACAAAACCAAATAAGGTTATGACTCGAAACACTTTCCTCACATATTTGAAGATACGGTGCCAAGCTGTATTGGCTTCTGACTTAACCTTCGACAACAACAGTATCGTTGAGCTCGTTATGATGAAAGTAACCTACATACCGAGTATGAAGAAAATCGTAGGAAAAAAAGTTGAATTTATCGATTTGTTATCGGCTTTATCGATTATTGATTTTTAAAAAGATTACCGTTTTTTTGGCTAAGAACCTATGTCTTACATTGTACAATGTATGTGCCAAGTTTGGACCTCGAGTGAAAAGGTATTACAGACAGATAGACACACAGATATCTTCTGTATATATATATATATATATATATATATATATATATATATATATATATATATAGATAGATAGATAGATAGATAGATTGCTATTTGAAAATGATTGAGGCGGTCGAAAGTACTTGAAAAAACGATATAAAAAATCAGTTTGTCCACAATTTCGAAGCCAAAACACACGTTATCCGAAAATTGGAAAGCTATAATGTACTTGATTCGTGGCTATTTTCCAACATTCACATGCATCGCTTTGGTGTTTACATCTGGGATAATCTTTCGATGGCCAGGGAATTGTCTTTCGGGGCCACTGATTACTGCTTTCATGTGCTTTTCGTTACTAAACTCTGTTAGCTATGAATCTGTATATATATATATATATATATATATATATATATATATATATATATATATATATATATCAATTTTCCGATTTGTTTTTGAATTTGTACGTCTGATGAATTGGATTGTGATTACGATTCTAATGTAATAAATTACTACCATGGAATATTAGTGTTTGAGCCTTTTATATTAAATTCTTGCTCTGTCCTGGATATTGAGCTCCATTAGATTCTATCCTCTTGGATATATATATATATATATATATATATATATATATATATATATATATATATATATATTGACCAGTAATATTATCTATCTATCTATCTATCTATCTATCTATCTATATATATATATATATATATATATATATATATATATATATATACTGGTGAAAAACCATATTCATGTAAAGTATATGTACCTTAAAGTTTTCAGATAGTTCAGACTTAAAAATCACATGCAAACACATACTGATAAAAAATTATATTCGTGTAAAATATGTGGTTCAGCATTTTCTGAAAATTTAGGTTTAAAAATTGTCGGACTTTGTCCATTTCTTAATATATATATATATATATATATATATATATATATATATATATATATATTTCATGATTTCTGCTCTCATCTCTAACCTAGATGCCCATAAATCATGTGGACTCCATGGTATCACTGTAATCATATCATGAAATGAAAGTTATCCTGAATGGCCACTCGTCTCTATCCCATCGTACTAATGCGGGTGTCCCCTAGGGCTCCATCCTTAGTCGTACTCAGGTTTTAATTTACATCAATCAGCTCCCCGTTTATATCATCTCTCGTCTTAGTATCTACGTTGACAACACAACCATATACTCCTGCCTCGATAGTAAGGCTGATCAGTTCGACAAGATCAAAATGGCAGCCCAAGTTCAAAACCATGGCCGTCGCTAATTGGGACAAAAGATGGCTTGTTAATTTTAACGCCTCTAAACTAAACTTCTCCCCATTAATCTGAGGGACACCACTCTGCCTTCGGACATCTTGTCTGGTACTAACCTCCACGAAAGTGACTAGTTTCATCTTCTAGGGATAACGTTCTCAACTGATATGAAGTAGAAAGTCTACATTGAATCCTTTGCCAGGTCAGCTGCTAAGAAATTTGGCTCACTGTGTCGTGCAATCAATTTTCATCTCCTTACATATCTATAAGTCTACCATTCGTCCACGCTTAGAATATTGCTGCTATATATGGTCCGGTGTCCCTGCTATTTAGCTTGAGCTCCTTGATATAATCCAAAGAAGGATCAGCAATATTATCTGGCGTCTCAGCTTCAGTATCTTACCCTCTGCCATAAGGTTGCCTCTCTGTGTCTTTTCTATAAATATTTTCCTGGTAATTATTCGGGTGAACTCTTCACTATGGTACCTATGAATTTATGCGCAGTACTAAACTAACGTCAAGATCTCATCAATTTACAGTTGAGCTGGCTAAATGTAACCGTAAATTCTATATTGATTGTTTCTTTTCTCTCACTTCCACATTTGAAGAATTTCCTTCCGGTTCCATGCTTTTCAGCCAACTTTAATCTGAAAAAATGTAAATTCAATATCCTTCACTATCTATTGTCCTTCTGATTACTCTTTTCACTTTCCTCTCATTATTAATGATTCTACTTCTAATTCTTCCACACTCGTTAAGTCCTTGTGTTTTTGCCGAAATACTAGAAATCTTCACTGGAAACAATTTCACGTCACACGCAATTTCATCGACAGCCATTAACAGACTGGTAAGCATGTTTATATGGGAGAAGAATGGCACAATGAACATCTTATTTGTTACATTTTTCTATTGTTCTTATCGTTGTCTTTTTTTATGAATATCAATAAAATGTAGAAACTGTCCATAGTGATTGCTGTTCCAAACGCTTTCCGTCAATTCAAAGGGTTAACTGTTAGCAGATTTTATCTGTTTAAGTTCTCAGTTGTATTGTTGAGAAAAGTTGTAGTAATTCATGTTGGATAGCAGTAGTAGTAATTCTAATGTTGCTGGATTGAAGTGGTAGTAATTCTAAGTGGTGCTGGATGGCAGCAGTACTAATTTTAATCCGTGGTGAATGGCAGTAATAGTAATTTTAAGTGGTGCTGGATGGCAGAAGTAGTAATTTTAATCCGTGCTGGATGACTGTAGTAGTAATTCTAAGTCGTACTGGAAGGCAGTAGTAATAATACTAAAAGTTTGTGGATGGCAGCAGTAGTAATTCTAAGTTGTGCTGAATGGCAGTAGCAGTAGTAATTTGAAGCCATACTGGACTGCAGTTGTAATAGTTCTAAGTGGTGCTGCAGGGCAGTAGTAGTAATTCTAAGTGGTGTTGGATGGCAGTAGTATTAACTCTAAGTGGGTCTGGAGGACAGTAGAAGTACTTCTAAGTGGGGCTGGAGGGCAGTAGTCGTAATTCTAAGTGGGGCTGAAGGGCAGTAGTAGAAACTCTAAGTGGGGCTGGAGGACAGTAGTAGTAATTGTAAGTAGTGCTGGATTGCAGTAGTAGAAACTCTAAGTGGGGCTGGAGGGTAGTAGTAGTAATTCTAAATCGTACTGGATGGCATTAGTAGTAATTCCAAGTCGTTCTGGATCGCTGTAGTAGTAATTCTAAGTGGTGCTGGATGGGAGTAGTAGTAATACTAAAATTTGCTGGATGGCAGCAATAAAAATTCTAAGTTGTGCTGAATGGCAGTAGTAGTAATTTGAAGCCATACTGGATGGCAGGTGTAGTAATTCTAAGTGGCGATTGATGGAAGTAATTCTAAGCGGTGCTGGAATGAAGTAGTAGTAATTCCATCTTTGGAGAGTACCTTATCTAAAACGGCAAAATCATCTTGCAGGCATTTTAAATATGGAATTACTACTATTCACTTTCAATGAAACATATATAAAAGAAGGATTGCTGTGCAAAAATACAATTGTGAATTATGTGAACTTTATAAATCTTCAAATATTCTAAATTCAAGAACATAAGACCCTTGCGGAATTGCAGTCATCCGAAAAGCATCCTGTATTCCTTGAAAATGGTTTGTGAGTCAGGTCTTTAAACCCTGACCCCTGATATTGTAGCCTAGTGCATTACTATTTCAGCGCCGGCCTATGATCGATAGACGAAGTAAGAATTTTGAAATATCGACTGAATAATCGAGAGAGACAATGGCGGAATAAAGATGGAGAAAGAAAATAGAAAAGAGAGAAGAGGACAAATAAATAAACAATTCTGGATGATGCTCTTTAGAAAAAAGAAAGAAAGAAGAGAAAAGAAAGAAGAGAAAAGAAAGAAGAGAAAAGAAAGAAGAGAAAAGAAAGAAGACGAAAGAAAGAAAGAAAGAAAAAAGAAACGAATGAAAAGGAGAAAAATATTGAAAATAATTCTTTTGTTCGTAATTTGATCCGATTCCGATTGTTTATTCGAATCAGCCAGAGACAAAAACAAAACAGAAAGCAATAACAAATAAACGCGTCTCTCAGTTTCCGTTGTTTTCTGACGCTACGACAAATAATGGAAGTCGAATTAGTCTTGCTATTATGAGTGGTCGACCAGTTGATATGAAGGGAATCTTGCTTATTAGATTTTTTTCAATTCGAGAATTGTTTGTGATGCGTTAAAAGCGATTATAGAAGCATTACTTATATCATTGTCGATCACGGTCAGTTCAAATAGACATATATAAATGTATATACGCACACACAAATACATACTTGCATATATATATATATATATATATATATATATAACCATGAAAGTAGTCACGTAAGGTTGATTTGATTGCAACAAAAGTATATGTAAAGAAAAAGAAATGTAAAAGAAAAACATTGGTAAGTTTAGAAAATTTGATTAACAACTTTAAATATTTCGAAGTATCCTCACAACAGCTTTTGTAAATCGAAATAATAGAAATACATATGTATGTATGTATCTATATATGTAGGTATATTTTGCGTGTGTGTGTATGTGTGATGTATGTGTGATGTATAAAAGATATAACTAAAACTTTGTAAAAAGATAGTATGAATAAACAGAAAAGGTAAACGTATCTTAGTCGTTGCCTTTTGTCCTTTGTCCATCAGAGGACAAAACGCACCAAGATAAATTTTCCGTTTTGTCTTTATTTACATATACAGAGTTCGCCAAAAAAATGTTTGCACGCTTCAGAAAAGAAAAAAATTGTCTTTCGTAGTTTTATCAATTTGCGATAACACTGTTTACTGCAGTACATTATTTTCTCGACATGTGACAGTAAATTGGCGGCCCTTAGACAAGAAATTGAAAATGCATGTGCAGCAATCCCACTGCACACTTTGATCAACGTTTCCCTAGCAGAAGTTCGCCGTACTAATAAATGTCTAGAAGCTGAAGGCCACCATTTTGGTCATCTTTTCGAATTGTAGATTTCGAAAATTAACTTGTATTTATCTCGTGCTGTCCGAATAAATTTAGTATTGCAATATCTATACAAGTTTTTCCTTTCCTGAAGTGTGTCTCTCTCTCTCTCTCTCTCTCTCTCTCTCTCTCTATATATATATATATATATATATATATATATATATATATAATGGACTCTCTGACAGCTGGCAATTTGCTCTTCAGCTTGTCTTTGTATCTTAACCATGGGCGGCCTACATTCCTGTAGCCCTGATCTAACTGGCTGAACATTAGGATTTTGGATATCCTATCATCAGACATTCTTATGACATGACCAGGCGACCGTGTATATATATATATATATATATATATATATATATATATATAAATAAAAAATAAAATGACAAGACGTGCTTTACCATTCATGATTAAAAGGAAAAAAAAATGACCAGCCGACCGGTTTCGCTCTCACTCAACGGAGCTGAAATCGAGAGGAAAGATCAGATGGAAATCATGTCAAGCCCTAACAGGCATTCCCTCTGTTTACAGAGGGAATGATGCCTGGACCTGACATAGATCGTTTCCAATACCTTTAATTGTAACACAGAAATAATACTGTTGTGTTACTGCTTTCCGCGACTTAATGTTTCATGTGTACGCTTAGATGTTTATGTTGTTGTCTCATAGTCCCCAGGTATTAAGTGTGATGAGAAACTCGGTTCATTATTATGGTGAGTTTACCGTGGGTGGCAGTATGTATTATGCTACAAAGACGGCGGAGAGAGGCAGTCAGGAAAATGAATCGCTACAGAATTGGGTGAAACGTAGCATATAAGGTACGCTTTCTCCGGAGACCCGGATATACTACTCTCAGTAAAGGGGCAGGTTAGGGATGGCTTTACGTTTATATTCTTTATTATAAATTTATTCACATGCTTACAGGAAGCCACAAGTTCCCGTTTATTCTGTCACCAACCATACCTTTCCAAATCGCTATGTGTGTGTGTGTATCTGTTTAACGTATACTTTCGCAGTGAGAATTCATTTCAACGCGGTTCATCCTATTTGACTTTCAAGTAAATATTTTACTAAGTTTTGGTTAGCGACATTTTAACCTTTTCGCATGAATCAGTTGGAAAAAAGGATTCAGAATATTTGAATTTATTTTTTTTAGAAGGGAAGAAACAACAGATATTAAACTAATCATTTACCACAAGGGAAGACATTTTAAACAGTTTAAATCATTTCAAGAATTGCTAGTACCCTGTACCTTGATCCTAATCGACTTATTTTATTTAAAATTTAATTTAATTTTATTTAATTGTATTTATTTTATTTTATTTTTTATTTTATTTATTTGTTATTTATATTTATTATTTATTATTATTATTTATTATTTATTTATTATCATAATTATTATTATTTCTTATTATAATTATTTCTTATTTATTACTTATTATTATTATTTATTGTTTATTTTATTTAGTTAGTTTATTTACTTATATTTAATTTATTTGAAAAAAATATTCCACTGAAAGAAAAGTTCGTAGCGTTTTTGAATAGTTGGAATTTAGGTGGGCCATTTCATTTCACATTTGACTAGAATAAATAACATATCTACATATCCTGAAAGCTGACATGCGTTTCTATATTTTTGATATGTTGAGTGGGAATTTTAAATGCTTTTACTTTAAAAAGAGGAAAATGAAATGCATCTTCGTCATTTGAGGCTCGTTTATTTCTGGACGGGGGAAAAAACGCCGTATAAACAAATAAAATAGATAGGTGCCGTTTAAGGGGACGGTGCCATAGCTGAAAGTACTATTCTTAAATAGTTCACTAAGATCAGAAGTGGGAATTTCGATCGAGAAGTCCGAAAGCATTCCAGTAGCCCTTCAGTCACACACGGGACTTTGCAAAGATACTCCACTCTTTTTTGTGTAGGTAAACGTCTACTTATCATCTCTCAGTTGCGTCTGTGTCTTTGGGAAGAGTGCTCTCAGGGGCTTCTTTGTCAAAGGACAGAGAGGAAACTGAAAAAATAATACAGAGAGGTGCCCAGCCCTGGGGAACAGCCGAGCCCTCCAAAAGCACCAGAGGGAAGGATCCGTGCTCGCACCAGGCTGAGGGGAATTTTTGTACCTGTCCCGGGTGTACGCGCTCGGGTTCCCATCTAAATATAGAACTTCTCGTCCTATTGGGGGTACAGAGTAAATACTTACTCCACATATCTCATATGAGTATTGTAATGCCTTTGAAAACACTTGTATACATATATCACTATAATTTTTGCGTGCCTCACGATTTAACTGGAAAAAATTAACGTAAGTCATTGCCATTTGCGATCCTCTGCTCAAATTCAACAAAACAAAATTCTTTTTGAATAGAACAATCCCAGGCGATGAAAAGTCAATTGTTTACAGCAATATAAAGCGGAAAGAAACTGTAATGCTTTGTATCTGTTGGGATTGTAATGGCATTGTACAATACAAACTCTTTTCGCAAAATTAGACGTTGAATTCAAAAGATTACGCTTCCAAATCTGACAGATTAAAGGAAGAAATTATGAAAATCGTTTGGAATGTTGTTTTCCTTTAGAATAATGCCAGACCTCACATACCTTTGCGGACACAATAGAAAGCTTGGGTGGGATAACTGTCGCCACTCTCTGTACACAATCTCACCTTGCATCTTCGGATTACCATTTGTGTCGATCTTTACAAAATTTTCTTAATGAGAAAATTTTCACTTCTCTGGAAACTTGTAAATACCACTTAAAACAATTCTTCACCCACAAAAGATGGCAAATACTGGATAAAATCATGAAACTGCCCCAAAGAAGGCAAAATCTAGTGTAACAACATAGTGCAGATGTAGTTGAATGTAAAAAAAAAAAATGAATGTATGTAAAAATATCTAAATGATCTTTAAAATTTACTTGAAAAAACGTAAAAAAAATTGATCCAACGCAATATATAAGGGCACATTGTTTTATTGATTAGATTATTTATTTTGTAAAAATACAAAATTGTGGCACAAGGCCGAAGGAGAAATGGAGAGAGGCTGGTCTTCATTAGTTATCCTAGCCATAGTTAATCAGAATCACGACCCATTCATTCATTATAATTTGTCCATTCAACACAAGAACTCATCCATCACCACTTAATCCTGCATATACCATAATATCGCATATTCGCAGGGGACCTACAGAATCATCCCATGGTGTAAAAATTTCATTTCATTGTCCATAAAGTTCGTTTATATCAAAATTTCATGATTTATTAAATGATACGGTGGGATGGGGGATGAAACCAGAAATAAACAAACTAAAAATGAAACACAAAGATAAAAACAAAAACGAAACAATGTTAGTAGGACCCGTTCATCCCTCATATAATAAGAATGGCCGCTGTATTCTGTCGACAGACAAAATCAAAAAGCACAGTCACTAATGGAATGGGAAGGATAAAAATAAATGACGGAAATGGGAAAATCAAAGGCTGACCCAGTCGGGATGAAAGATTGTTTTATTGATTAGATTATAGTCAATGCACAATCACACAATCACACACACACACACACACACACACACACACACACACACACACACACACACACACACACACACACACACACACTAGCCCCCACATACATACATACATAATATAACAATATATAATTTTGTATAATTTTTATATCAACAGTATTTCGAAAAATATGACAAACTGGAAAGGTTTTTTTTTTGTGACGCATTTCATCTGTTAGGATTTCATTGGACTGGGCTTTGATGACGTTAAAAAAAATCTTTCAAAAAATTTTGCAATCTGTCATTTTGTGTGCATGTGTAGACGAGACATTGTCATCAAAGCCCAGTCCAATGAAATCTTAACGGATGAAACGCGTCACAAAATAAACTTTCCAATTTGCCATATTTTTCTAAATGTCACTTCATATAAACGACATTCTTTATTCAGCTAAGAAAACGCACGATTTTTCTATATATCCATGTCTAGATATATTTTAGAGATACTTAACCAATTTAGTATTGATTAGAGTCTCCATTATTTTGCTAAGGAAATGTAGGAAATGAATAGGTCGATAGTCCGAAGGATTAGAGGATAGGTCAAAGTTGTTAATGATATTATTATAATATATATATATATATATATATATGTGTGTGTGTGTGTGTTGTATATATATATATATATATATATATATATATATATATATATATATATATATATATATAATGGTATATAATTTTGTATAATTTTATATATCAACAGAGTATTTAGAAAAGTATGACAAACTGGAAAGGTTTTTTGTGATGAAAGACGTCACAAAAACATATATAACATTTTTTATCCTAACGGATGAAACGCGTTTTTCTGAATAAATTTTTAACATACAACGTGTGTTAGCACGTGCGATACCCTGACTTCATCAGCCGCCGACCAGGGGTGATCTCACGGTTTCGGTGGCTATATATAACATTTTTTTATCCTAACGGATGAAACGCGTTTCTCTGAATAAATATATATATGTGTGTGTGTGTTTCTGTGTGTCTGTGTATATATATATATATATATTAACATACATACATATTATCCCTCATCAGTAGGACGACATGGAGTTTCATCTACAAGGCAATCTTCATGTGCTAGATAGAGACTGACCATTATATAATTTAAATTTCAATAAAAATATCTCTGTGTAACACAGTCCATATATTATACAGGGATTATGGGTTTTTTTTATTTTAAAAATATATATATTGTATTTAAAGTAGACGGAAATCTTATTTTATATTTAAAATAAACAGGGATTAATATTTTATTACATATTTAAAATTGGGATTACTGGCATTTGTTTAAATATATATATATATATATTAGAATAGACAGACCTAACTGTATATGAAAAAAATACATTAAGTTGGGATTATTATCTTATATTAAAAATAAAGTGGGGTTAAAGAGTTTTAAAAAATTGGAAACAATTTTTATATAAAAAATAAACGGACCTAGAAACTACAAAAATAATATAACACAAAAAAAGGGCAAAGTCATAATTTACTGTAGAAATTAATCTGGACCAACGCATTTCAACATATTTATTTTTAGGTCTACATGTGACCATCAATTCGTTTCTCATGTTTAATAAGTTAAAGGTTTTTAAGATAACTAATTTGTCTACAATGTATAATTATCAATATATAATTAATGGGTTTGTTATATTTCATCGATATATATATATATATATATATATATATATATATATATATAGAAGAAGAAGAAGAAGAAGAAGAAGAAGAAGAAGAAGAAGATAAATATGGGTAAATAGCTATGGGTAAATAGCAGGATAGACTGGGTTCTATGGATGGCAACTGGTCTAGAAGGACAACTCTGAATTCAAAACCTGCGGAGGGTCGTTTGGGGACCTTGTAGCACGTAGTGCACCACGTCTCTGTATTCAGCCCTTCAAAAAGTGTGGATGGTCCTGCACGAAACCTTCACCACTATAATCAAATCTCATGTGCTATTGTCGGGCTGTCTGTTTCCTAGGAACTGATCTGCTTGACCCTCATACGTCGAATTAGACGGAAGAGTCGAGGATATATATATATATATATATATATATATATATATATATATATATATATATATATTATATACGTTATTTATTGATACCTATGTTTGAATAGAAGAACTTTTTAATAAATTGCCTGAATTATATTATGTCTACAGACCTATACGTATACGAAACTCTTCATGAAATGCATGTTTTTTTTTCCGGCAGGATTCGAAAGTGTATCCTTCTTTGTAGGAAAAACTACAAAGTGTGAGGTAAGTTCAAACCCTGCCGAAACACACATTTTGATGTAATTCACATTTTTTTAATAACAGGGAGTCTACTCAAACATTGGAATCCAGGTATCATAAGATAGTTGTTAAAAATAATGTCGGATACAAGTCCATTAACTAGTTTTAATTATCTAATTAATTAGTTAATTAAAACTAATAAATATTAGGTGAATAACAAGTAAAACTGTCATCGAGATCAATGGCAGAAACACAACAAATAAATCCAAGTTAACACTAGTATGGCCAGCTCCTTTGACATCTTTATTTACATTACGCCGCGAAGCAGCCCTCTCTAATATATTCAATATTCAAGTCAGGAATAACAAGTCTGAAAAGAAATTCACAAATATTAGTATACCGCATACTGAAAGAAAGTGATTATATATATATATATATATATATATATATATATGTGTGTGTGTGTGTGTGTGTGTGTGTGTGTGTGTGTGTGTGAGTGTGTGTGTATAAATTATGTGTGTGTGTATATAGATAGATAAATAGATAGATAGGGGACGTAAACACAAGTATTATTACTTGTGAGAAAATGTTCAATGCATTTACTTTATAAATAGCCTAGGTGTCAAAAACGACACCTCGGCCATTCAAGGTAAAACCTCAAATATCAGCTATTCCACTAAATATTTTTTAAAGAATTAAGTCTGTTAAGCATCTTTGCTAAAATTCAATAATTGTCCATAAGCCGCAGCATCGAACCAAAACTAGTTATTCCATCGTAATTTGTTGAAAGTTTGAAGGTGTCGAAAACGACACCTCGGCCTTCCTAGTGTCAAAGGTTAAAGGTCAATAGTCAGGCTAAAAGACTGAATAAATGGCAAAGCCATTTAAAAAAAATCTCTTGGGAAATGTGTCTGGCATTTTAGATGTGGAGGTTGAGTAAATCATTGAACATCCTCTTGACATTAAATATGGAAACGTTACAGATGTAGAACTTGAAACAACTTAAAAAAAAAAAACAAGGAAAAATAGCTAAGTAGCGGATTTGATAACATTTCATCAGAGTTTTGGAAGATCCAGGATATCAACAATATTTTACTTCAACTCTGTAACGCCATATATAATGAAGAAGATGGACAGAAGGATGCCCATTTCCTTTTTCAAAGAAAAGAGATCTAGGATCGGCAAAAGATTATAGAGGAATCACACTCACCCACAGTGCAGCAAAAATTTACAACTCAGTGCGTTTCCACATAATACAACTGGCAATAGAAAAGGGGATCCCCCAAAAAATGTCTTTCAAAATATAGATCAACCGTTGAACAAATCCAGACTGTTCAGAAGATGATTGAATGCGCCAGGGCAAACAATCTACAGGTCGCCTTACTTTTTGTAGATTTCGATTCTGTATATAGAGGAAAAATGGAGAAGACGCTTCTGGCATATGCTGTCCCCCATGAGACAGTAACTGGTATAATGATGCTATACAAAAAATACAGTCAGAGACACTAGCTTCTTCGACATCATAGCAGAGATCCTCCAGGGTGACATCCTCGCATCCTTTGTCTATGTCTTGAGACTTTCCCTAGACAAACATCAAGGTTTTACTTTATCACCAAGACTCTCAAATCGATATCCTGCAAAAAAAAAATTAATAGATATTGACTATGCAGATTACCACTGCAGACACCATTACCAATTCCACAGATCCCATACATCATTTAGAAAATGTTGCCAATGATGTTTGACTGTATGTGTGTTCTAACTTAGAGAAGGTTACTGAATAGAATAATCACACCAAGTTTGTAATGAACGATAATACTTAGGACAAGAACAACACATATAAGATTCTCAAGCAGCGTGTAGAAGTAGTCAACTGCTAAAAGTGAGTCAAGTTAATTCCGCAATGGATCTCTAACTGATGACCAACATACAGTATTTACTACTGTATTTATGTGAATGTGGACATACCTATTATCGTCCCTAGGTATGCTACAACAATGTCAATGCCTCTAAAACTGAATTCATAGGCTTCAACCAGTAAGTCTGAATTAAAACTCCCCCAGATGAAGCAATAATATATGTTGAATCTTTTATATACTTAAGAAATGAAATAAATTTTACTGGAAAGGGTGTGTGAAAATTCGCATAGCTAAAGCTTGAACCGCCTTGAATAAAATAGATTTAATCTGGAAATCTCATGTATCAGACAACCTCAAGCGGAGATACTTTCGAGCCACTGTAGAAGCGGTGTTAATGTATGGTGCCACTGCTTGGATATTAACTAAAACCCTTGAGACATGGAGCAAGACGGTTTTGGCCCAGCAAACATCTACATTGACTATCTATGTTATGAGACAAAATGAAAACCTCGCGACCTTGATGCAGGACCGTGATGCTTGGTGTAATAGACTCATAAATGCCCGAGCTAGCTCGATCGAATAAATTAACAAGTTACATTGGAGGGTAAGCCCCTCGACATTTTACGAAAATGTGACTTACGTTACGGCTGGTAACGAATTAGCTACGCCAAGCTTCGATATAATGAATGATTTTCTTGAACTGCTCACCAAACGCAAAGCCTAAGAGTCACTCAAAGTAGAGAGATACCGAATAAAGATTTGTATGAGAAGAGGAGGTAAGAAGGTCAGTTTAGGAAGGTATGAAAAATGTTAACGATTATGACGAGAAATTACATCCGCATCCTTTGTAAGACGATAAATTACATCCGCGTCCTGGGTAAGACGATAAACTACGTCCAACAGCAAGGCCTCTGATCAGAAGGAATTGCTGGTGTTCCCAGGTCCACCCTGACCCGGGGTGGTAGCACTTGTTAGGGTTCCAGCTATGGGCAAATAGTTAACCTCTAGACTGGGGTCAAAACACTATGAAAGTGAAAAAATACGCTTTAATACCAGAAATAATTTGTAAATAAAACAAAAATTATTATCAGCAATACATTTTTGAAAAAAAAAAAAAAAAAAACATTACCAGCTATACAATTTTTCCCAAAAAATTACCAGCAAAGGAAAATTATTAGCAGAAATAGATTTTTAGAAAAAAATATTACCAACAATGAAAATTTTGTCGGCATTAAATAACCCATAAAACAAACCAAACCAAACCAAACCAAATCAAACCAAACCAAACCAAACTTAGACTTGAAAGATTTAAGATTGTAGACCTTTCGTCTGTCGGATAATGAGACAAATCTGAACATTGTTTTTAATGTATACAAACGATAAAGAAGTGTGCGTGACAAAGAATAGATGGAAAATGGTCTATAAATATATTATATACAGTTTTGAGAATTGTGAAATGCAAGGAACTCTTAAAATGGGAATGAAAATAAGTAAAGTACAAAGAATAAGTATATATAAGAATCGAATCGTTTTCCTGAGGATTCTCATGAAATTACGGACTATGATTCTGGAAACAGAACAAATTGATGAATAGATTTCTTTGAAGGAGGAGACTAAAATAAAACGAAAAATGTGTCATAAAATGAACAAATCGCGTGCCTGATGTTATTGTGTTCGGATTAAAAATCTTAATCGCAGATTTTAAAATTCTCTGGATTATAGCTTTGGTCGAGCATTGTGCTGCTGGAAAGCGTCTGCAGAATTGGATAGAAGAACAAAAACAAATAGAACAAAAGGAAAAATGTGGTTAAATCAAAGTATTGTTGGGTATTAAGAAAATGATGGCTACACAAAGGTGTGACGTCATAGAAAAAGCGGGAAGAATTCAACGGTAAAAATCGAATCCATTGAGATGAATGAAACCGCACACACATGCGCATGGTGGACTCAAGTAGAAACGAACACAATTTATGCCAAGTATGCAGAAATACACACTGAAGTGCAGACATATATATATATATACAAATATTTTCTTAAATCTTGATTCATGCTCGAATTATGTTTGTTTCACTTGCACACATATATAGGTAGCCTAGTGTTCTACTTCGCCCTGGGTAAGACGATAAACTACATCCGCGTCCTGGGTAAGACGATAAACTACATCCAGCAGCAAGGCCACTGATCAGGAGTTTTGAGGAGCGTGGAACCACCTCTTAATTGCTGGTGTTCCCAGGGTGGTAGCACCTGTTAGGGTCCCAGCTATCGGCAAACAGTTAACTATTACCAGCAATACTTTTTTGAAAAAAAATATTACCAGCAATACAATTTTGAAGCAAATATATTACCAAAAACAGACTTTTGACAAAACAAAATATTACCAGCAATAAAAATGTTGTCGGCATTAAATAGCCCATTGAGGTTGATACGCCGTAAAACAAAATAAACCAAGCCAAACTTAGTGTCCTACTCTTGTATTCGTTTCCTTGTTGCCTGTATAGGCAATGTCTTCAGCAGCCAATTGCTTCTATTTGCATTTACTTGTCACCCCAAGTAAGAAAGAACTACGAAATTGTAACTCCAGCTACTAAGAGTCGACGTGGGCGTCTTGTGTGTTACACATTTATTTGCAATGACTTTCACGAACGATGTTCTGCTACAATGCACAAATTCGAGACTTGAAGATCAATACCTCTTTCTCTTCATTATTTATACCCTTGGAAATCGCTCAAATAACGAGTGGTTGTAACGTTCCAGTAATAGTAAGAATATACATCTCGGGCTAAACTACAAGGAACGAGGGAGGAGTTTGGCCCCCTTAACATGCAGCATGCAGGCCAACTGGTGTGTGGACACGCCCTGGTGCCCATGAATCAAACCCCAGCTATAGGTTAAATAGCTCCACTGCCTTGTGGAAATCTTCGGGAGAAAAAATGACTAAGGAGTAAACCCTACACAAATCCGGAGTGGATCCCCTAAGGCGGATGGACGGCACTTTGTTCTACCTTCCGGCAACTCCTGCAGCCGCGCTGGTACCAAACTATATTGGTTCATTCTCTTCTTTGCAATTTGCTAGCAAGGCCGAGAGGGGGAACTAGACGTCTGGGCAGCCCTAATTCTCCATATATCCCGTCCAGGCTCGTAGCGCACTGGAGCGAACGTTACATCCCTTTATTAGGAGATTAACTGTCATTTAATTAACCTTTTAGTGGAGTACTTTTCATTACTCTAGCAGAGTGGTATTAGTACTCTAGCCTTGGTTAGTAGCTAATCTATGAGAATGACAACACTAAACTGCAACTCCGAGGTGCTTTGAGGTGCAACATAGAGCAGGATGACGCAGGAGGATAATAAGAGAAAGGACCAAAAAGCGAGCAGCTTTCATCTTCAACCCATTTGATTTTACAAAGAAGATGCTGGGAGATAAGCGAAGTGGCCAGTTCGTATGCACAGCAGATGGAGTCAATTCTTTTCTTAAAGATCCTAAGAGAGAAAGACTTAAATTCAATTGTAAGCATCGATCTACCGACCGTGGAATTCGACACGATGGTGCCGAACTGGTCTGAAATCCAGGATGTTGCAAGAACTGCGAGATCAGCCTCGTCTCCTGCATCCAGCGGTCTAAACACATAAATGAAAGAAAGCACTGTGAAACTGCTCGATTAATGTTCCCAATAAATCGTACTAATTCACAGATAGTAAATAAAAAGACCTGTGAAGAGCCACGATCACCTAGTTCTTGAAATGACATGGCATTAAAAAAAAATCTTCATTTTTCATCAATAAAACTTCGGCACCAATACATTAGCGGACGATTTGGTCACAAGCAGTTTATGTTTTAGACGAGTCTAGATATAATTGATAGTCACAAAACAAAAAAAAATAATGTTTTCTTTAAAAGCGATGACTTCTGGATATGAACACTTTGCAATGACTTTCTTCTGACTAAATTCGATTAAGATTTTGTTAATAATTTCTTTATTCCCAGCAATCGACATTACATTTTCTTTGGAGTATTGAGTTTGAAACTCCGTGTTTTCATTACTGTTACATTGCAGGATGTGAAGTAAATGGGACGATCGAAACGAGTTCTAATATCGACTGTGATTCCTGATATTCACTCGAATACTAGAAAAGCATGAACCCACTTCTCCATACGCTTTGTCTTATCTGGGATCTTTACAACATCTCGTCATTAGTTTTCTACGGTAATTGAATTAAAAGAAAATACGCGAGTGAGTACTTGTGTCTACCCCTTTTCCATTATCTAAATTATTCATTCATCATCAGCAAAACAGATGCAAGGTCAAAGTGTTACTCATTTCAAATCTCCCCACATACATGTTGTTCCATCTTGAAAGGAACCATCTTCATGGTAGCTAGGCAGTCAGCAATGATATTTCTGGGTGGTACTGGGTGGGATAACGGTTAGTATCACGAAGTATAGATCCGAGAAACTTAGATCGAATTCCGGCTGAGGGATCCATACTTTATATTGAAGCCGTGTATGAAGTCATTGGGTAACAGTATGAAAAGGTAATGGTAGGTAGCGCAACTGTACGTTGACAATGCCTAGACCTACATAAATTGTGTTTTGAGATCCGCTGATCTAAGCTGTTCATGGTAAGGTAATAGGAACTATCAGTGTTAGAAAGAATCATGGCGGATGTTAGAGTGTTGGACATCCCATTTCTGAAACTGTGGGTGGGAGCATTTGACGTCTTTCATCATAGGGACGAGAATTTCTCATATAAGACATGGTTACCAACCGTAGAGAGGATAAGTTGGAATGCATGGGGGAGACTAGCTTCCTAGCCATCATACATGATATTGCTAATATTAGTCGTTTCCGTATAAGGAAACATTTAGCATTTATTGACAAAGTAGCCAGTGCTAGTCTCGGTTTAAAATTTATAAAATCTTTTGAAAAAAATTTTTTTTAGGAAAATAAATTTTTCCAGGGTAGTAGCTGTTATTTCACTTTCCAGTATTGACAGGAGCTTCCTTCTTAGCCACTTGCTTGAAGAAGTGTGAAATATCAACATTTTGATGAGGTCATTATTTTCTCTGTGAGTTAGATATATTTTGTGATGAGCTGTGGTCGTTAATAATTAAATATGGCTCAAGTCTTCAATGTTAATTAAAACTATTTAATTACAACCGCAAATAAACACTTAACAAGAACAAAGAAGTAAAAGTCAACCAAAGATAATTAACGTGTGGTAAATCCTTAATCAAAACCCAAATCAACAACGCACAATCACACTAATTCAACTGGATAGTTCGACTCAATATTCACTCAATAATCACTGCAGTCAGTAGCCTGACACCGCTATTTATACACCTAGCGGAAAATATATATATATAGTCTAGGATGTCACGCTCGAACCTCGGTCTCGGTAGTTACTTATTTTCTTCCTATATGACAATGTGATATCCATGTTAGTTGTTTCTGTTGTCGAAAGTCATCAATTGATGTATTTTTCCGTTATTTGGTATAGTTATTTGTGATTCTCTACCCCGCCCCTAGTTGAAGAGGTTCGAAGTGGGTTGGTACGCTATGACCTACAGGATTCATTCTCAAGAAGCCACATTTAGTCACCGACCTGAGGAAGTGGTTGTATACGAGTAGATATTTCTGAACGGGTTTGGGGTCAATTTTAACATCCACATGAACATCTCGATCTGACAAAGCTAGCTCAGAACGCACCTCACGTTTGTAGGTTAAAGTTTTTGACATTATAGCAACTTGCGCAGATAATTTCCTTATCTCCTATGCTAAATTTGTAATAACTTATCCATACACTGAGGTATTTGAAGTATTTAGTATTGATCAAATCCACATCTTGAATTTTTATGATGTATTCAGAGATCGTTCTATCACTACTTTCTTTCCAATTCCAGACTATTAGACGTTGCAGAAAAATATCATTTAAAATATAGTTTTCAAATAATTTTGCTGAATATCAATTATTTACCGGATTCTTTCAACTACTTAAAATATTATTGGGAGCATCTTATATTGTTTTCAGGTGATTGCAGTCATTTTGAAAATGGTGAGGTACGATGATGAGGTACTGTGCTTTATTTGATTTTCGCTGAAAAATATTTTTGATTCGTTTGGACAAAAAACTGGACGATTTGAAAGAGAAATATCAACATGTTATTCGCTTTCAGACACAAACATCTTTGTTCCCCCAATAAATCCATAAACAGATTTAGCCATTGAATTTATTCTAAGCACAAGTATTCAAATCCAATAGTGTAAGCAAAAGCTTTGTAGCATGCTATTATTCTAATATATAAAGTAGAACTGAGTTTTTTTTTGCTGCCAGATGTTGTGCTTAGTGATTTATTTTATATGAATTGCCGTCACGTTCCTCGTTCAACAAAACTGATTCCAGGATTATAAATGGCTGTTATGGGTCTAAGGTAGCTTCTGTAAAAATATATTTTTTGGTTCGGTTTGTTTTGTTTTACGGTATATCAACTTTAATGGGTTATTTAATGCCGACAAGATTTTTATTGCTGGTAATATCTTTTCCAAAAATGTATTGCTGGTAATAATTTCTTTTCTTCAAAAATTCATTGCTGGTAATACATTTTTACAAAAATGTATTGCTGGTATTAAAACTCATTTTTACACTTGCATAGTGTTTTGACCCCAGTTTGGAGGGTTAAATATTTGCCCAAAGTTGGGACCCTGACAGGTGCTACCACCCCAGGTCAGGGTGGATCTGGGAACACCAACAATTAATAGGTGGTTCCACGCTTCTCAACACACCCTGATCAATGGCCTGGCTGTTGGATGTAGTTTATCGCCTTACCCAGCACGAATATATTTTTCTTGTTTTTTTCCTCACAGACATGTACAATTCGTACACAAGATGGTTTCCAAAGAAAACATGTCTGTCTCTTTGTAGAATGAATAACAAAAATCTATATGTTTCTTTGTTTAGCGGCATATAAACATATGGGTCATTTAATGCCAAATTTTAATTTACTTGGGAGAATTAGTAAAATTTTTTTAATAAAAATGTACTGCTGGTATTCTTTTACGGTGAAAATATATTGCTGGTAGCTTCATTATGATAATGTTTATATTTACATATTGTTTTGATCACAGTTTGGTGGTTAACTATTTGTCCAAAGATAGGACAGGTGCTGCCATTACCATTATCGTAATAAATAAGAGTAGCGGAAAATATTTTCCAGATAGAAAAAACGCCATCTTATAAAATAAAATAAAATTGAAAAATATTTCTTCAATGACAAACAACGATATGTATTTAATTTAATTTAAGTAAATCAATTGCGAATCAAACATATTCTTGAAATTAACATCTGAAATTCAAGGATTAACTACGTTTGTATGCTATTTACATTATTCGGACTATTGTCCTCATCTTTGTTGCCCTATTTATTGGCATAGATATTGCCATAGATATTGTCATATCTATCTATCTATCTATCTATCTATCTATAGATAATGATCCCTTTATGCCAATATCTTTCATCCTGTTCATCTGTTATCAGTCGTTTAATTTTAGATGAATCATTGACACATGGTTCTCGTAATGAAAATTACAACATAATCAATTCTATTAGTATTATTATTTTAGTTTTAATCGAAATCAACAGTTTTTTTACTCAAATATTCTCCATGCAGAATTATTCAGTACCTCATATTGCATTTAAATCGTCAGTTGAAGCGGAAAGAAAATTATTTATCACAAGGTTTCGATTGTAGTTGGAATGTCGAAATGGACCCTTTATTTCACTCACTGGGGTAGACTGTTCTAGTTCCACGTGCTATGTCTAATGGATGTCAGTTATAAGTTAACTCCTGCTAATTCCCCTCTCTAAGTTCTCCACTAACTTAACCAGGTATTGAACTCACACTATTTGGGTCCTGCCACTGGATCTAACTAACGTCTTCAACCACTCTGCCATGTGTCCCTGAGGACATCTGTGCATGAATTTCTGGGTATTATAAACCTAATGTCTTCAGGAACCGTTTTTACCAGTGCTCATATTGCAACTTTTGCTGTTATTATTGAATGTTTTTACCATATTGCAATTTTCGCTGTTATCGCTTTTCTCTGGCATTCCTTATTACTGGATCCCATATTGTATTCATTTCTATGCTTGGTCGGCGCAGGAGATTTTTGTGGCCTAGTATATGTACTGATTCCTTAAGTTTACAAATTTTCCAGTGATGCTCTTTGTCTAAGATTTCAATCAGATCCCAAAGAGGGCGGTGATCTCCCTTTTCTCTCCATATGTGGTCAGCCACGCCTGATTTTTCCACTTCCCCTTGTGTTACAATTTTCTGTCGTTCTTGAAGCCGTACCTTAAGGAGGTGGCCTGTTTACCCTTTATATTTCTTTCCGTAGCTGCTTTTGGCATTCCATTCAAACGATTATCCTCATCTTTTGTTACGTTTAATATAAAATTTCAGTCATTGATTTTTTCAGATACTTCTCTCTCCGAAATTTCACGAATTGCCAAAATTTTAAACGCTTAAAATGCTACAAAAATCAACGTATCGGCGTTCGTCTGCATATACGATCAAACTCTTTACATGGACGAAAGAGGTCATCACGTCTACGAGCAATGGCTTTAATTAGGAGAATGTCGCTCGTATTGTTGGTCATTTTGATTGATGTCCGATGCAGAAACTCGTAATTTTGTAAAGTGACAGTAATTAATTAAAACAAACTGATTTTTTCTGACAGTCAGGAAGATAAGACCAAAATGAAAAGTAAACCCCACCTTTCACTATCTATCTATCTATCTATCTATCTATCTATCTATCTATCTATCTATCTATCTCAGTCTGTACATTTCTTTCTTTCTTTCTTTCTTTCTATCACAGTTTGTTCTTATCTATCTATCTATCTATCTATCTATCTATCTCATTATGGTCATTTCTTTTCTTGTTTGTTTGTTTGTTTCCATCTATCTATCTATTTGTTCATATCTATCTATCTATCTCATTATGGTCATATCTTTTTTGCTTGTTTTTTCGTTTGTTTCTATCTATCTATCTATCTATTTCATTATGGTAATTTCTTTTGTCTCTTTGTTTCCTTGTTTCTATCTATCTATCTATCTATCTATCTATCTATCTATCTATCTAGTTGAAATTAATTCTGAGGTGAAATTAGTTCTGAGTTGAAAATATCTAATGTCATAGAGTGCAGCATTTGCGAAAATTTCCAATTCGCCGTCTTTTCAAAACTAAGGACTGAATAAAAGTTGAAATCTGTCTTTGAGATATTGCATTCAGTGTTTATGTGTTCTGTAGTGAGAAAAAGAATTGTTGTAAAGAAGACACACGCTCGGCACAGTAAGTTGTCGCTTTTCAATGTGGACGACAGAGGAACAGTTGTAAGGACGACGATTGTTGATGAAACGATGGTTCAATTGGAATCAGTATGTGTCAGGATTGATTTGTGAAGTTCAAGCTATGAGAATTTATTCTTGAGGATCAATCATGCTGCGGTAAAACACAAGAATTTGGAAGTTTGAACTCAGATGCTGACCCCCACTGAATTAAGTGTGAAATTGAGTGAAACGTGTTTGTGTCAATTGCTCGATAATTGGCATAAGAAAGTGTCGTGGTAACAGCCAGTTACCCTATACTATCATGAATGGACTGATCCATTAATGATAAGTAGTCCTGGGTAATTGTCTAGAAGGGAAAAAAAGATTGCAATGACTTGTCTATTTGATTATAGAATACTACTATCTCGATTGATTTTGTCGATTTAAGTGTTGTGTTTTGCCAGACCCCATGTCAAAACAGAAAGTGTGACGAATGGGATTCCGAAAAACATGTTTATACACGTTCGCTTCATGTAGTTTGGGGCCTTTAAAAATTCGGAATATAGAAATAGCTGGTGAAGAGAAGCCACAGAAGCTTGCTATAGGATGTAGCAACAGTTAATACGTCTTGTTTATAGAATTTACTGATAGTCAGATGAAATAAAAACTCTTTCCTACGCTCACTCCTACTGACAATTCTAACTTAGCCAAACCATTCTTAACCAAGTGCAACTTAACAAACTACTGCCTAGAGGCAGTATTATTAATAACACTAGTTTACAAAAAACAAAGTTTTCTCTTAGTCAATCATATGAACAGTTTTTTTTTACTAATTTTCATGTAGTGAATTCAAATTGTGTGCTCTTGTGCTCTATCTTCTCTAGAATTTCATTTCACATATCACATTTTTATTATACTGCATATAAATTCAATATGTTTTTATTTATCTATTACAAAGGCATTGCAAAAACAGAATATAAAGAGAGCATCAAGGGAACCAAATTACTTTGATAATATCATAAATGCACGTCATAGTATAGTAGGCGGAAGGGCAACTTTTGGACGATCACGTGTACTTTGCATCCGGTATGTCGTACAGGAACAATCAATAGAACCCCCTCCCGCCGCCCCACCTATGCTCATCAATCCCTGCTCCGAGGTTCAGAGAAACGAAGGTAAATGTGGGAGTGGAGAAAGTGAATTTGTAGTGACATTCGACATCCCATATCCTCATGATACTCTAACAACTTTTCGATACACACTTGGTAATCTGCTGTGTATTACCAAATAAACCATGGTAGACTGACCTAAATGTTTCCCATGCTCTCAGCTGTCCTGGGTATGACGATAAACTACATCCGCGTCCTGGGTAAGACGATAAACTACATCCGCGTCCTGGGTATGACGATAAACTACATCCAACAGCAAGGCCTCTGATCAAGAGATTTTGAGGCGAGTGAAATCACTTCTTAATTGCTGGTGTTGCCAAGTCCACACTGACCCGGGGCAGTAGCACCTTTTAGGGTCCCATCTATGGGCAAATAGTTAACCCCCAAACTGGGGTCAGAATACTATGAAAATGTAAAAAATATGTCTTAATACCAGAAATACTTTCTGAAAAATTATTACCAGCAATAATTTTTTCAAGTAAAAAAACATATTACCAGTCATACATTTTTGAAAAAACAATATTATCGGCTCTACATTTTTGAAAAACAAATATTACCGTCTGTGCTTTTTTTTCAAAAAATATTACTGGTGATACATATTTGAAGGAAAATATTACCAGAAATAGATTTTCTGAAAAAAAAATTACCAACAATAAAAATCCTGTCGGCATTAAATAACCCATTGAGTTTGATATGACGTAAAACAAACCAAACCAAACCAAACCAACCAAACCAAACCAAACCAAACCAACCAAGCAACCAAACCAATCTACTAACTGTGTATTACCAAATAAACCATGGTGGACTAACCTAAATGCCTCCCATGCTCTCATCTCATTTATGATAAGAAGCTCTGCAGTAGCACAACCGGTTTTTCACGTCCTTGTTTCGTGTCCTGAAACTGGTGATCCTTGCAGCTGCCGTGACCGGTTTCCACTTCTTTAGACGGGATGCCATGAGCTCGGACTGTTGCATAGATAGTTACAAATCACAGAGACGGTCATTCAGGCCTTCGTGGATGATTCAGTGGGTCTCTCTGCCACATTCTCCCGAATAAACAGCGACATGGTCTTCAGAAGTGTCCGACTTGGAAGAATTTTCCTCTGAAGAAAAAATTTCATATGATGAAAAAATAAGATCTTTATGTAGGGACAATAAATTCATCTGAGTGAGAAACAGGTCTCAGCTAAAGGAAGCTTGGAATATTCGATTTTTTGGGAAGGAAGAAACATTTAAACCAGTTGTATTTGTTAGACAAAAATAACAATCATCTGCATGGCTGCGTTACTCTCTCCAGATCATCGGGACAGCAAAATTGAAGGCTGCTTTCTCATCATGAAACTATGCAGTTAAGCTTTTCTAACAGGGTTTACAACAGAAGTATAGGGCTCGGGATTTGTCCTGACTTCCAATTTAACAGTCAAAATAATGAAAGTAAGCAGGAGAGAAGTAATTATTCTGTGATGTAAAACTGCCGTGAATTCCACCCCTAGGAATTGATGCAACCTTTGTGTTTTGAAGTGACTGGACCTATTGCTGAGATAAGTATTAGCTCACAGAAATATGGAAAACAGAATAAACATTGATCATATATATGATTACATTCACGCATACAGATTTCATTTTGCTGCAATGAAAGTAAGCCTAAATGGCCGAGCGTAGGCCGCCAAAGGCGTCCATTATGTCAGTCCTTTTTTAAAAAAGAATTCTATTCGTAAAATTAAAAAAAAGAAGAAGAAACAACACAATGTCATAAGTAGAACAAATCGAGCAAACTTGAATGCATATATATGTATACATATTTTTATCCCGTGACCCGTTGGTTCGTAAGAACACCATGTGTGCTGCAGCCGCAGTAGTGGTGTTTCTTGGTCAAGATGGTCGGACGGAGCCCAGTCCTTTCCAGGCCGGTTTTGAATTCAGAGTTTTTCCTCCTTCTAGACCGGTTGCCACCCAAGGTTATAGAACCCAAGCCTGTCTTGCAATTTACCCATAACTAAAGTGGGCGGAAAGAAGGTGATTCATATCTTTCCCAAGGGGATTAGCACCTAAGCGAATGTAATGGATTCGGTTGGAATTCGATTCCTCAATACGAGCCGCTGAGCAAATCTCTTCACTAATCCAGCACACTCCACCGTGACCCCCTTTTGTATACATTTACGTATATGTATATATGTATATCTCAAAAACTAGAAGTGATAACTGAAAACAGATTTCATATGTAAAAACAGCACCAAAAACATAGATTAGAATAATTATTTTTATTCTTGCTTCAATTTCTTTGTAAAACCTCTGTGTTTTGAATTGAAGTATTTTCATTAGTCCCCACATGAGGATTAATAAAAGCCCTACATTTCAGAATATCACAGAGAGTACAATTGAACTAAAATGTTTTCTTGGGTTTTTTTATCACATTCAAAAATAAATAAATCTACCAAAAAAACAAAAACAAAAAAAAAACGTAAGTTTTGATGAAAAAAATACGATGAATTCCATTGCAATTGTTATTTGTTCTTGTTGAGTTTTCGATCCAGTAATATGTCCTTTGATACTCCACGGCTCTCCGCAGTATTCCAATAAGATGTGGTAATATGTGATTTAAACTTGAGCTTAAATGACAGCAAATCTATTCACTGATCCAGCACACTGTTTAGTATTGTTTGTTTTATTCCTTTTTCAACCAATTTTTTTTCCTAGGCTCTTCGGGACAATTCCGTTTCCCACAACAGAAAACTACTGATGCACACTGGAGGTCATCAGGCAGTCGGTCAATTAAAAATAACAGCAACTGCCTCAGTATTCCTCTAATAATAATGATAATAATAATAATAATGGCAGAATATATTATTATCATTATTATTATTATTATTATTATTATTATTATCTTCGTTTGCATGATAACCGTTTCCAACTGGATATCCTGCACGATGTGTATTCTCCATATAATTTTTAAATGTATGACTAAGTTTAGAACGGGGTTTTGTTGAATGCTGAAATCCTAAAAGATCTTGAATTAATCGTTCAGCTCGAGTGGCGGTGCCATTTCGCAATGTTTTCAAGTTTATATTTTCTATATCGGTACCACGTTAGATGAAAGAACTCTTTATTATTATTGTTATTATTAGTATTATTAATATTCCATTTGATTTCCTTCTGGGTCCCAAACAGAGGCCTCAGGCCATAGCATTTTGTAAAAAAAAAAAAAGAGAAAAAAGGAGGACAACCACACATTTTTTAGATCGATAAAGCCATTTGTAAGGTGTGAGCTTTACTTGTGAGTAGAATATTTTGTATTTTTAAGGCATGGGCTACCAGGAATTCCTTCAGTGAGTGTATTGGAACATTTTCCAATCATTATGAGGGTTCCAACTACAACTAATTATCGATGTGCCAAATTTTTGAATTTCCAAATCAAGATCCTTGTATTTTGATAGTTTTTTCAAAGATACATTACAATTTGCAGAAACTGACATGTCCCTAAGAAATCCCATTCTGTTTTGTGGTCTTTGATGTCTGCTCGATTAGATTTGATTATTCTGTCTCTGTGTATTGTAAAGACATATAGAATTGTTACAGGTCAAATCTCTGTAACAGCGTCTGGTTACAGAGATAGGATCTTTTCATACCAGTTTCTTGCAGTTTCCTTGC